ACCTGAAATCTTAATTAGTTGTGGGACTGGGGTACCCAGTATACACCCAGCCATACGGAACCTAAGAAGCTGAGTTTCTCAGCTTAGGATGGACTCCTAAGATGGTGGGAGTCCTCAAACACAGAAAGGATATTCTGTGTTATTTTACCAGTTTGGCTTACTGCCTAAAACACATTCACTCAATAGATGCCTACTGATTTATTACCCTTCAGTATCCTCGATTAAAACAGTACCTTTGGGATCATCTAATCCACACCTATTATATTACAAAGGAGAAAACAACAATAAAGTGACTTATTCATCGTCAGAATTTTGAGGATATATTCTAGGAAGATTTCAGAAGGCATGGTATGATGTACAGTGATGCTATAGTCTTCTTGTGCTAAGGATTGCTTGTGTGCATTATTGTGAAAATGCTGGTTATTCACATTCACAAAATTTATTTTTGGAAACACTCCAAGATTGCAGCCTGCAAAATTAATATTAAGTTAACTTTTTTCTATTTTGTTATTTGTGGCAGTCTGTTAGTTGTCCATGAACATCTTTTCACTCTTTTCACAGTTGTCCTTGAAATTTTTACTGGGCCATGACCACCAAGAATAAAGTCTATATTCCCAGGTTCTTTTGCAGCTATGTAGTAGTATACTCTGGATGTAACCAGCATTGTTGTATGCAACTTTTGACAAATGTTTTTAAAGTGTAGGGCTTTAAGAACATTTCTCTCTTCTCTCTTTCCTTCTTCCTGATGAGTAGAATGCAGTTGGAACTCCAGGAGCTACCTTGGACAATGAGGCAATCTTGAGACTGGAATTCCTGACACAGTAAAGCAAGAAAACAGGAGACTGGATTCCTAACACCCTGCAGCACCATACCAACTGTGGACTTACAAAAGACAACTTTTCTGTCTTGTTATTTTAGTTTATTTTTTGTTATTTTTGGCTGAACCAGATCCTAATTCATAATTCCTTGCCTGGCCTCCTCAACTGCTAATGCCGATGGAGACCTGAGTGGGTGGTATGATCCCAACTGTCATGTACAAGGCAGGGGCAAACAGATACCATAACCGTGAGATGGAGTCCTCAGCTACCCAGCAGACCACTACCACCAGCAGTTCAGCACTTACCTAAGTGATAAACCCAAACAATACCAGCTAGTCAGTAAGACTTATAGACTGCTTTTTAAATGTGGCATAGAGATAGGTTGTGATCTTTTTGTTTTAAAAGATTTACCCCATTTCTCTTCTTTCAAACCTCATTTGTAGACTGGGTTCCCTACTTGCCAGAATAATTTTTACACATTGTACTTAATTTTTGTTTTTTAATAGTTTATTTTTATTGGCATTATTCATTTTTTAAAAATATTAAATTGTTTTAAAAGTCCTAATAATATGGTCTGTGGGAAAGCTTTTATATCTCTGATGAAATTGCTAAGGAAAATATATGTCTAGTATTTCTCACATATGAATAAAAGAAAAAATTATTAGTCTTTGACAACAATATGTCAGTGCTTTACAACCATGCCTGCAGATGATTACTTAATAAGATATGTACATTTTCTAAAAGGGTCAAACATTCTAAAAATTATATGGATAATAATAGGTAATGTTTACTAAGTACTACCATTTGATCCTCCTTAGCACCTACAAAGTAGATACTGTTATTAATAATGGGGAGACTGAAGCACAGTAAAAAGTAATCAAGTAGTAAATAATGGAACTGAAATTCAAACCCTCAGAACTCCTGCTCTGTGCTTTTATATTTACTTTATTAGACATAGAGAATATAGACTATCTGGAAAATTAGAAGAATGCCTCTTGCCTCAGTTATACGGACTGTTTTTTTTTTAAGGATTTTATTTACTTATTTTTAGAGAGAGGAAGGGAGGCATGGAGGAAGGGCAAGAAACATATACGGGATGCCTCTTGTACACATTTCAACTGAGACCAAACCTGCAATACAGGCATGTGTCCTGACTGGGAATTGCACCAGCGACCTTTTGCTTTGCAGGAGGACATCCAACTAACTGAACCACATGGGTCAGGGCTATTCAGACTCTTGAGGCTGACATATTTTTTATTCAAATTAAGTTAATTTAGTTCATTGTTTAACAATGTTATCTTGTGCATACAGAAATGAACCATAAAACTAAGAAAAATGTGGTAATATATACATGTTTGCACATGTAATTTTAGAGAGCTTAGTTTATTTTATCTTATTCTTTTTCACACACTTGCTTTATTCTTCTTTGCTTTTAATATTTCAAACTACAAAATAGAATAAGGTTGCAAACACTACCCATGTTGGTTTGTCAAATCTTTTTTTTTTTTTTTTTTTTTTTTTTTTTTTAATTAAATTTATTTATTTTTTGAATTGATTATGCTGTTACAGTTGTTCTATTCCCCCCTCCATTCCCCTCCACCCTGCCCCCCCAACCCCACCATTACCCCCCTTTAGTTTATGTCCATGTGTCTCAAGTCCTTTAGGTTCTAAATTTCCCAAACTATTCTCGCCCCCCCATCTATTTTCTATCTATTGTCTATGCTACCTGTTTTCTGTACCTTCTCCCCCCATCTCCTCCTCCCATTCCCCTGTTGCTAACCCTCCTTGATATCTTCATTTCTATGTTTCCACTCCTGCTCTAGCTGTCCTTTGGTTTGCTTTCGTTTTAGGTGTGGTTGTTAATAACTGTGGATTTGTTGTCCTTTCACTGTTCATGTTTCTTTATCTTCTTTTTCTTAGATAAGTCCCTTTAACATTTCATATAATAAGGGCTTGGTGATGATGAACTCCTTGAATTTGGTCTTATCTGAGAAGCACCTTATCTGTCCTTCCATTCTAAATGAAAGTTTTGCTGGGTAGAGCAATCTTGGTTGTAGGTCCTTAGAATTCATGACTTGGAATATTTCTTTCCAGCCCCTTCTTGCTTGTAAGGTCTCTTTTGAGAAATCTGCTGACAGCCTGATGGGGACTCCTTTGTAGGTGATTGTCCCTTTAGCTCTTGCTGCTTCCAGGATTCTTTCCTTCATTTTAATTTTGGCTAATGTAATTATAATATGCCTTGGTGTGTTTCTTCTTGAGTCCAACTTTTTTGGCACTCTCTGGGCTTCTTGGATTTCTTGGAAGTCTATTTCCTTTGCCAGATTGGGGAAATTTTCCTTTATTATTTGTTCAAATAGCTTTTCCACTGGTGGTTGTATCTTTCCCCCTTCTGGTACCCCTATAATTCGGATATTGGAGCGTTTAAAGATGTCCTGGAGGTTCCTAAGACTCTCCTCATTTCTTTGAATTCTTGCTCCTTGACTCTTTTCTGCATGTCCATTATTTGCTTTCTTCTGGACCACTGCATTGATTTGAGTCCCAGTTTCCTTTTCATCTCTATGGGATTCCTGTGGAATTCCATTCATTTCCCTTAATTTAGCCTCCATATGTTTCTCTAATTTGTGGCTGTAATCCACCAAATCTGTAAGGAAGGTGATGACCAGTCTTTTAAACTGTGCGTCTGAGAGTTTTGCTATTTCTTCGTCATTTAGATTTATCTCTGGGGCTTTGAGTTCTGCCTGCGACATTTTTGGTCTGTTCTGGCCCTTTAAGTGGGACAAGCGGCGCCTTGGAGTCCCAGGTCGCTGGGTTGTGACACTGTATGTGGGGGCGTGGTCAGAGCGGGAAATGGCGGGCCGCCGCCGCCACCGGGCTGGTTCAACCGCTCACTCCCTCACTCGCGCGCACCCAGGCAACCACAGTCAATTCGTTGCCACTGCCTCCCCACTGTGTCGCTCCCCCGGTGGGCTGCTCGGCGGCTCACCAGGTCCAATCCTGGGTTTGGAACCGGCGCGACTGGATTTGCGCGCCCGGATTCGCGCCCGGATTCCGCGCCCGGTCCGACCGAGCCCTCCTTTGTAAGTCCTCACCGGAGGCCGGTTTCGCCCCTTACCTAGGTCAGGCTGAAGAATTTGTTGTTAGCGGACTTCCGAAAAATTCAGTTTTCCGTGTTCTGGTTGTGTTATGTGATGCTCGTATTTAGTTGTCCCTAAACTTGGTTGTGGGAGGAGGCAGGCACATCCAGCTAAACCTCCATCTTGGCGGAAGTGGTTTGTCAAATCTTGATGTTAAATTTGCTGCAGATAACTTTTTTAGTTTTTTGCATCTATATGTTAAAAAATGTGTAGCTAAGTCTTCATCCCATCCTGTTCCATATGCCCAGTGCCCACTCCCACAGATGTTATGCTTATTGCCCCCCAGTTTTGTGCGCAAGTGCGCATGTGCACAAAGGAACATGAATATTATTTAAGGACTTATTTAAAAAAGATTAACAGTTACAAATCTTTGACATTTTTAAAACACTTTTTAAAAAGATATTTTATTTATTTACTCTAGAGGGGAAGGGAAGGAGAGAGGGAGAGAAACAGCAATGTATGGTTGCCTCTCTTGGGTCCCCTGTTGGGAACTGGCCTGCAACCCAGGCATGTACCCTGACTGGGAATCGAACCGCGACCCTTTGGTTTGCAGGCCCTCGCTGAATCCACTGAGCTACACCAGCCAGGGCTGACATTTTTCTTTGTGTCTACACTGCTAACACTCTTTACTGTCTGATTTATCTCAGCTCATTATTCAACAAATAATAAAACTCAATGTTTAGGAATTATGTTAACTCTGAAGAATCAGTTTCTTATCAGATTGCCTCTATCCTTTCTACTCTATCCACAATCCGATTTTCTAGAAAACTGAAAACTATTTCCAAAGCCTAAACTGCTTAGAGAATCACAAAGGCGAACTTTACCCAAAGAAGAAGCCTTATCACCTCCGAGGAATTCGGAGAGCAGGAAGCTGTGTAGAGAAAACTGTGGGGGTAGGCGGGACCCGGGAAAAGCCTGAGTCGGAAGTGAGTAGGTGGGACTTGGAGGCGGTGAGGATCCCGGAAAAGGCGGGGTCCGACATAGGTGGGCGTAACCAGAGGGAGGAGGGTCCTGCAGCTTCAACCCGGAAGTGGGCAGATTTGGCGCCAAACGCCGAAGGCTCTTTTGCGGCGTTAGCTGTAGCGTCTCGCGAGAAGTGAGGTTTGCTTTCCCCGCCAAACACGGTTCCGTGACTGCTGCTTTCGGCGTGAGGTGAGAGTGGGCTGGCGGGTGAGCAAAGTCCCTGCCAGAGGAAAAAAGGCCGAGGAATTCAGGAGAAGGAGCTGGGGTGCTGGGGAGTCGCAAGGAGAGAGTGAGGTTGGAGGACAGGGCTAGGGTGGACTGAGCGGAGCGGGACAGGCCTGACCGGCCGCGACCTGTGGGGCGAGGAGACCGGTGGGGCGAGGGCGGGCCCTTTTACTTTGTGTTTACGTTTCGGATCCGCCTCTCAGTCAGCCTAGTTTTTTAGCGGGAGGGAACGTGTACCGTATGCACCTTCACATGGCCGGCTTCTGTCCGTGGGCTTTAGACATAGAAGGCATCCCGTGAAGATTGATTGATTGAATGAGTGAAGTCGAAGTGAGAGAATAGGCGGGGGAGCGAGGGCGAGAATGTTGGGGAACGGATGGGTCGGGAAATTCAGTGTGTTCGGAGTGTCAGCAAAGAGGGACATTGAGTCAGCCTGGTAGGACTGACCTTGCTGCTCGTGAGGTTATGATCTCTAATAGCCTTTCTTCCGATTTTGAAAATCTACGGTTCTTGCTTCTTACTTGAAGATACAGTAGGCCATCATCGAGTTGATACTTATTTTGTCTTCATGTATTATGGTCATGGAAATTTAGAATCGGAGAGAATACAGACCATCAGCTCCAGTACCACAGTTTGGGGGAAGCTTTGGAATTCTTTTCTTCATTCCTTCATTCATCAAATATATATTGAGCATCCGCTGTGTACCAGGTTTGAGGATGCAATGTTGAAGCACAAAGAGAGCTACCTGGACTTGCCCCCCGCCACACCCTTTTTTAATCTTTACCTGAGGATATGTTCATTGATTTTGGAGAGAGGAAGGGGAAAGAGAGAGAGAAACAAACATCCATGTATGAGAGAAGCATGACTTGGTTGCCTCCCCTCACAACAGGGATCAAACCCACAACCTTTTGGTGAACAGGACGCTCCAACCCACTTGGCCAGGGTCCTGGTCTTTGTCCTTTTGGAGCTACAGTCTAGTATGGGAGGCAAACATTAATCAAATGAGTGTAGAACGTAATGTTGAAACTTGTACTTGATACTTTGAATGCTTATTATAGGAGGATTTTGCGTGGGGAAATTGGGGCAGACTTTTCTGTTGAGGTATTGTAGGTATCTGAGAGATTAGGAGTCTGGGCAGAGCCTTCCAGATAGGAAACGTTCTGCCCTGGCTGGTGTGGCTCAGATTGTTGGATGCTGTCCTGCAAACTGAGAGGTGGCTGGTTGGACCCTGGTCAGGTCAGGGCACCTGTAAGAGGCAACTGATGGACGCAACTGATAGGTTGAAGTTTCTCACATGGGTGATTCTTTCCCTCTCTTCCTCCCTTCCTCTCTTTTTAGAATCAGTAAAAGAAAAAGATAGGAAATGTCCTTTACAAAAATGTCTGGTGGCCTAAGGGAGTGCTTATGGCTCTTTCAAAGAACTGAAAGAGAAGAGCATGAAGAGTGGTGTGGAGCCCTGGCTGGTGTGGCTTAGTGGATTGAGTACCGGCCTGGAAACCAAAAGTTTGCAGGTTCCATTCCCAGTGGGGGTGCATGAGAGGCAACCACACATTGATGTTTCTCCCTTTTTCTCTTCCTCCCTTCCCCTCTCTCTAAATATAAACATTTTAAACATTTTATTTATTTATTTTTAGAGAGAGGGGAAGGGAAGGAGAAAGAGTGGGAGAGAAACATCAATGTGTGGTTGCCTCTCATGTGACCGCCCACTGGGGACCTGGCCTGCAACCCAGGCATGTGCCCTGACTGGGAATCGAACCGGCAACCCTTTGTTTCACAGGCCTGTGCTCAATCCACTGAGCTACACCAGGCAGGCCTCTAAAAATAAATTTTAAAAAAATCTAAAAAAAAAAAAAAAAAGAGTGGTTTGGAGTGAGGTTGGAGAAGTAGGAGGGTGCCAAACCAAGCAGGGCCTCGGAGTTTCATCACTATCTAAGAGCAGAAGGAAGCCATTGAAATAGTTAAGCCAAGTGGTAAAGCAATCAACTTTATATTTCTAAAGGCCCAACCCAACTGTAATTTGAGTAATGGATCGGAAAAGCCAAAAATGGATAGGAGTAATAGAGTAATCCAAGCAGCAATGTTAGGAGTGGTCGTGGACACAGGGAGAAATGGACAGATTCAAGGGATTTTTAGGAGGTAAAATGGACAGTGTATGTAGATTAGAGGTAAGCAAGTTTCAGGGATGACTTACAGGTTTCTGACTTGCTTGGCTGGATAGATGTCATTCAGTGAATTGGGAAAATGAGAAGTTTGGTTTTGTGCATGATGAGTTATAGGTGCCTTTGAGAAATTTAAAGTAGGGATCTGGAGCTCAGATTTGATGCCTAAGATGGAAGTAAAAAAAAAATTAGTCATCTGTAAATGCTTAATCAAACCATATGTGTAAATGAGTGAAGAGGGCCTAGGGTGGAGTCTTGGATACTTACTGACCAGGTTAGAGGAAGATGAATCTTCAAAGAAGATCCAGGAGGAGGGTCCAAAGGGAGGAAAACCAGGTGATACTGTGTTTCAGAAGATAGTGGAAACACTTTTCCAGAAAAAGCAACTAATCAAAAGTGTCAGATGTTGCTGAGAGGTCAAGTAAGATGATACTGAAAGGCATTCTTTAAAGTTACTGACTTGATTATTTCTCTTTCTTCAAAGGAAACCTTACCTAGAAGGTCAATATGTAAACAGATTTTTGTTACAAGCTGCTTTGGTTGAAGTTGCTGGCAAAGTACTTATCCCTTGCATATTTCACACCTATCTGAACCGTAGTTTGGAACTCAATGAAAGTCCAAATCATTTTATGATAGAAGAAACTCAACAGTTGAGGTAAAATGATTTGTTCAAAATCATTGTTATTCAGTGGTGGGGTATACATCAGAACTAGATTCTTCTGGTTTTTAGCCCAGTTCTTTATTCCATAACTATTATCATCTCCGCTTCTTTTCATCATTTGAGTTTGAAATATGGTTAACAGACTGAAACACATGACTTTTGCTGCAGGTGGATCTTAACTGTGTAGTAGGAAGACTATGTGCATGAATAAATGTGTTTACTTTTTTCTCCCCAGAGGAAAAGATGCAGGAACCACAGGAGGATGACTTGATTACCTTACCAGCTTATGAGCATGTAGAAGATGAAACTTTTCCTCCTTTTCCACCTCCAGCATCTCCAGAGAGAGAAGGTGGTGAAGGAGCTGAACCTGATGACGGTCTGTATAGAGTTCCAAAAAGTATCTGTATTCACTTATCTATTTATCTGCTTAGAAATGATATATTTTATAGATAAGGCTTAAATTATTTAAGTAATATGAAATCTTGCAATATTTCACCAGAGTCAGGAAGAGGGGCACCTATTCCTGTACCTCCAAAGAGAACAGTTAAAAGGAATATACCCAAGCTGGATGCCCAGAGGTATATTAACTATTTCCTTAAACATTTGTACTTTTTTTTTACATCTTCCCCCCCCCCAAGTTATAAGCTTTTTTTTGGTTGGGAGTATTTGGAGATCAAATGTTTATAAAGTTTGTTTTCAGTTCAGATAATATCTTCATGTGTCATGGTTTGGCCTTGATGGACCTAGAAAACCTGGAATTAAAAACCTATTTCTATTCACAGATTAACTTCAGAGAAAGGGCTTCCAGCATTAAGGCATGTGTTTGATAAGACAAAATTCAAAGGTAAAGGTCATGAGGTAAGAAATGTCTGGATTTTATTTTAGACCCTTGTTTTTTAAAATACAGTCATTCCTCAGTATCTGTGGGTTATTGGTTCTAGGACCCCTGCAGATGCCCAAATCCACAGAGGCTCAAGTCCTTTACATAAAATGGCAAAGTATTTGCATATAAGGTACTTTACATCATCTCTAGGTTACTTGTAATACCTAATGCAATGTAAATATTAAGTCAATAGCTGTTACATTATTTAAGGAATGATGATAAGAAAAAAGTCTGTACATGCTCAGTATAGACACAGCAACCATCATAGGCATGACTTACATAGCACATGTCAGCAACAGCGTAACATTTTTTTTCCTGAATATTTTCAATCCACAGTTGGTTGAATTCATTGTATGCAGAACCTACTGTATGTAGGGCTAACTATCTATAAAACTGAGCTTGATACCATGTTGTTAGGAATCTTAGAATGTTTCACAGATACAACCATTCCTCGTCGTCTCTTCTGAGAAACTATAATGTGGAGGGGCACTTTTAGAAAAATCAGAAAACGTCTTGTCTTGGTTTGCCATGGTATGGCTTTAGTAAAATCATATGTGAGTTAGTAAGCCTGAGTTTACACTTCATAATTTTTAGGAATAAAATTTACTTTGTCTACTTTGGAGAGTGGTTTTAAGCATTATGAGAGCAAGGACTTTACCTGTATTGATCATTTGTGTGTCCCCAAGAAGTGGCGCCATGCCTTGCTCATAATAGATGTCAGTTAAGTTTTGTTGAAAAATGGAGACATTTAAGAACTGTCAATCACTTTCCCTGGACAAACGTACATTTAAAGTTTTTCTTTATTTTTTTAAACTGATTTGAGAGAGAGAGAAACATCGGTTTGTTGTTCCACTTATGTTCATGCATTCATTGGTTGCTTCTTGTATGTGCCCTGACCAGAGATTGAACCTGCAGCCTTGGCATATTGGGACAGTGTTCTAACCAAATGAGCTACCTGGCCAGCGCCATTGAAAATTTTTCTTTGAATCATGTAGATACATATATTTTTACAGTTCATGGAGTATTTTCAAATATATCCTTTTTTTTTTTAATCTTTATTGATTTTTTCAGAGCAAGAAAGAAAGAAACATTGATTTGTTGTTCCACTTCTTTATGCATTCCTTCATTGGTTGCTCCCTCTACATGCCCTGACAGGGGATGGAACCCTCAACCTTGCCATATCAGGAAGATGCTCGAACCAACTGAGCTACCTGGGATAGGTGTTGGTCCCATTATCTTATTAAGGAGACTGAGTTTTACAGTTTTAAGTGTCCAGTGACAACAGTTAGGGCAGAGCCCAGATTTCCCATTTCATAGCCCAGTTAGAATAATGTCACCTGCATCTTGGTATGGTATGCAGGATAATTGGAAAGAGGGAAGTGACCGGAGGCTGACAGCAATTGAGAGGCTGCTGCACTACCAGTGGAACAGGATGAAAATGGGTTGGATAAGGTAGTAGTAGAAATCAACGTATAAATAATACTTGTAGTTGATTGGACTTAGAGGGGTGATAAAGAAGTCAAAAACAATCCCAAGATTTCAAACCCGGAAGGCTGAAAACGTGTGCATTTGCTCAGCTTCAGTGGACAGGAAGAGAATATATAAGCCTATGTGTCCTGTTGTGACATAAAATTAAATATAAATCAGGATATATTAAAGCCATACCCAGCTCAGTTAATTCATTGCCCTTGTTGAAATTTTCAGGTAGTAATGATGAATTGGTGCTTTGAATTTATGAAGTCTTCATCATTTTTATCATAAGATTTATATGAAAGATGATTATTTTGTATTTCACTGGGTGAGGATGGGTTCTGAAAGGGTTTATCTAGTTTTCTGTACTTTGCCCTTGAAAATTCTTAGTATTTTCTCACAGAGACTTCCCATTGTATTTGGCTATTTTCTCTTCTTTTGTTCCTTGGGTCTAAAATGACATTGAGAGGTGGCTAGCCAGCTACCCCCAACAACTGGAAAATGAGATTAGGTGATTGAATTTCTAAAAGTACTTTTAACCTACCCTGAACAGTATGGCTCAGTTGTCTGGGCATTGCCCTGCAAAGTGAAGGGTTACTAGTTCAATTCCTGGTCAGGGCACAGGTCTAGGTTGTGGGTTCAGTCTCTGGTCTGGGTGCATATAAGAGGCAGTCAATCCATATTTCCCTCTGTCCCTCCTCCAACTCTCTAAAAATAATAAATAAAATACTTTTAACAAATTCTTAAAAAAATAACTTTTTATTATCAGAGTGAGAATGATAAGACATTACACTCAGTATTACATATTTAGCTATTGGTAGAGTTGATTGTCTTAACCATTGACTTCTTAGACTAGTAAATAACCAACATTTGAGTGCTCACTTTGAGTCAGGTGCTTTAATGTGTATTACTTAATCTTCATAATAATCTAATGAGTTATGTATTTTCTCATACATGAAGAAAGCACGGAGGAGTCATTTGTTAAACATCACAGCTGTAAAGTGGTAGAATTGAGATTCGAATCTATGTAGTCTGATCCAGAACCAGTTTTTAACCACTTTCATATTTTAAAATACTGTTAAGAGAAGAATATTATATTTTATAATAAAACCCAGAATTAGGAACTTTTCTCATTTGTAAGTCCAGTTTATTAAACTTTATTTAATTTTATTTTTAAAAAATTTTAATGTTACATTGAAATTTCAAATATAGGTATTCTGGTTTGAGAACATTTAAACCGTTCTTGCTGGTCTTCAGTACCTTTTGCACTTGGGATTTCTGAGTGTATTTCTGTAATGCTGAATTCCCAATGCTTTCTTGTCTACATGGGATTTAGGGACCTGCCACTTGGTTTAGTTATTTCTAAAAGGTATCTTGACATAGTTTATTAAAGCTTATTTTTAGTATTACTTTACAGTCCTGAAAAGACACATATGATTATCTTTTAACTCTTATTAAGTTTTCATCCATTTTTCCCCCTCTAATTTAAAAAAGAAAATTATATCCAGTGCTTTTTTTAGACTGCAATCCCCTAAGTCCTTAATAAATATTTTTCTTAAAGTTTCTTCACCTTATAAATGTAAAATGACACCAATGACTTTGGCATTACTATTCAATTCTAAAATCTGCTGACAAGGTCAGTTCTGAGAGTGCATTTCCTATTTAGCATTTTTATTTTTATGTGCCAGGCTGAAGACTTGAAGACACTAATCAGACACATGGAGCACTGGGCGCATAGGCTATTCCCTAAACTGCAGTTTGAGGATTTTATCGACAGAGTTGAATACCTGGGAAATAAAAAGGAAGTTCAGGTATGTGCTGAGATTATTGTGAATATCATTCACAATGTTGAATAGTACAAGGATAGATTTAGTTAAGGCTAACAAGTAACTATTCGGGGTCTTCATTTTGAAATCTCTCTTGGTAGAGAAAGAAAATTAATAGTAGTTACTTGAAGAACAAGTTTTTTGAAACCCAGAATGGATTAAATTACCTTTTCCCCCCAGATGTTATTAGTGAAAATGTAAAACCATCTCTTTATTTTCAGACCTGTTTAAAACGAATTCGACTTGATCTCCCTATTTTACATGAAGATTTTATTAGCAATAATGGTAAGAATGTAGGTTTATCTACTTTATAACAATTTTTTTTTAAGAAATGGATTTAGTTGGGATGAACAGTTAGATTCTTAGTCTATGCTGAGTATATAATTAAAGTACAGTCAATAGGAATGATTGAAAATACTTTGGTACATTTAAAACTTTGAGTATGATATTTGTTTCTTTAAAGATATGGCTACAGTGCTATTAAGAGATGTAAAAATGTATTTAGCCATAGAACATTAGCTTTAAAGAACTCTAATGGTGAGTTCCTTTGGTGATCCCATGGATCCTTTGTAGCGCTTGTTAGTAAAAACAGTGGACAAAATGTAGTGTTCATGTACATGTATGCCATTAAAAAAAAGTGGCTCTGGGCAATCAGGCTGAATAATTTGATGGTGAAATAGTTTACATTTCACTGAAGAGTGCACATCCTGGATATAGGACTTCAGGAAGACCTACGTGACTGTTCCTGGTATTGATTGCACTGGTTAGCTGTACAGTGCAACCTTAGGCAGTCACACACATCAAAGCATATGGTTCCTGCCGACAGAGTCTGTATAGTTATCAGATTTTCTGTGCGATGGCTCCATACATGCTTGTTTTTTATTTTTTATCTTTTAGTAGATGTTGCAGAAAATGCAGGGTCCATATAGAATTCCCTTAAGTTATTTATAAATTGCTTTTAAAAGTGTGAAAGATTATGATTTAAGTAATCCAAAATTTAATTTTTTTGTAGTATATGGTATGTATCGATGGCATGGGGTATGGTATATGGAAAGGTATTTTCTTATAGTACTAAATCCCAATCTCATAGCATACGCTACTGGGTTAGTTAGTTTAGTCAGCTGCATTTTTGACCTGTGCACTGTATGCTAAACATTCAGGGATAAAGATAAGATGAGACCCCTTGTCTTATGGGCTAACAGACTAGTGAATAAGTCAGGCATAACAAACATCGCTGTAGTTTGAATGGTGCGGTAACGAGATATGAACAGGGTACAGGGTAGGTTGCAAAGGAGAGTAGTTACTTTTATCTAGGGGAGGGGAAAGCTTCACAGAGGAGGCATCATAAGAATGTTAAAAGATGAGCCGTAACTGTCAGGCAGATGATTCATTTACTCCTCTATACAAATAGGACTATTCTTGGGATTGCAGGCATGTTGAATAGGGTACATAGAGGAGGCCTGTAGCAGAGAGCCTTGTTTGTTGAAAAATTTTTTTAAGATTTTATTTTACTTGCTTTTAAAGAGAGGGGAAGGAAGTGAGAAAGGGAGGGAAAGAAATGTCAGTGTGTCCTTGCCTCTCATGTGCCCCCTACTGGGGACCTGGCCTGCAACGCAGACATGTGACCTCACTGGGAATCGAACTGGCAAGTTGGTGGTGTGCAGACTGGCATTCAATCCACTGAGCCACACCAGCCGGGGCTGTTTTTAATCCCATTTTTATACTAGTCAGAGTTCCATCAGTGGTTACATTCACATTGTTTACCCATAAAACATTGTATTAGGCCATTTCCTATTGACAGTATCTTTCCTTTCATGGCTCACAAAAATGTTCTTTATTATGCATTTCATTATTATTAATTCAGAATCTTTTAAGTCCTATAAGGTGAAGCATAATAAAACTCTATATGTTGGCCCTGGCTGGTGTGGCTCAGTGGATTGAGTGCAAACCTGTGAACCAAAGGGTCGCTGGTTCAATTTCCCAGTCAGAACACATGCCTGGGTTGTGGGACCTGTGGGCCAGGTCCCCAGTAGCGGCTGTGTGAGAGGCAACCACACATTGATGTTTCTCTCCCTCTCTTTCTCCTTCCCTTCTCCTCTCTCTAAACATAAATAAATAAAATCTTCAAACAAAAAAAAAAACTATGTTGTGGTTCTGATACTTGTTTCTTAACTTCCCCAGCAATGTTTTCTACTTGTACATCATCATTATTTTGTGACAAAGGAATGCATTTTAGTTTCTTGTCACAAATTTTTTCCATGTCAGGAAGGAAAAATATATAGCTGTTTGTCTTTCATTAATAAGGAAGAAACCTCAAAAGGGGTTTGGATTGCAAAAGACTGGATTAAGTACATGATTTTTAAGTCTCACTGGAGTAATTGTAAAGGTTTATATTCATGTTTTAAATATTTCGCTAGTTGTGATGGTTTTTACTGTCACTAGTTAATACCTTGAGGCACAGTAAATGCATAAGACAAGGGTGGTATCAATATATGTAAATTTATTTTTCTTTTTCATGTTTTGTAAAATAATGTTTCCAGCAGTGTTCTTGGTGACATGAAATTTTTTTTTTCTTGCTTTCTAGTCAGATCTGTGATGAGGTCATTTTTTAACCCCATGATGTGAATGAATAATGTGAATGAAGTAGAGAAGGTGAAGTGTCAGCTTTGCCTTTTAAAAATTTTTTTTAAGTTTGCTTGTGCTTGTATTATCTTCTACTTTGAGGTGTTTGTTTTGCAACAGTCTTTTTAAGCAGTAAAACTACCACTTGTGCATTTTGTTGGGGTTGTTTTGATTAAAACTAAATAGTCTGTTAGTCTACTTTACTGGGCAGTCAGTCAGCCATGTGTCAGTGTGCTGAGATTGAAGGGTGAGTGAGGGCCTCACTCCCCCACCCTACCTCAGTGTGGGGCTGCCTTTATCAAGATAGCTTGCAGACCACATGATAACTGTCATATGGATAAGTGATAGTTTATCACTGCCAGTCCTTATTTTAAATATAAGGTAGTAAAACTTAATTTTTCTTAATTCTTAAATGAATTGTAAATGGAAGGTGAAAGTTTACCTTCCGTAACACTAGATCATTTTACGGGTATCCTACTTGGAGATAACTAGTGTACATGGCTTTAAGAGTTTATTAACAGTAATAATGTAGAGAGCACTGAATTTTTTGAAACGTTAACTTGGAAATATGTGCACGGATCTCTAAATTTTCCTTTTTCACTTTGTATCTGAGTGTTACCCTGTTAAAAAATAGCCTACATAAGATTATTATTGTGTATTATGTCAAGCTATTAAAATGTTTTTGTTTAATTTAAAGCAAGAATATTCTTTGGGTTCTTTAACTTCTTTTATTACCCCAAACATAAAATATTTCTAATTCTAACCAAGAACTTTTGTTTTCTGTTTGTGCATATTTTTAAACTAGTATTTTCATTTGACTTAAAATATCTCTTTAAAGTGATTTATCAATATTCCTTTTACTTGTTTAAATCAAGCATGTGTCTAACGAGTTTAATCCTAGCACTGTACTCACTTTTTCTTTCTACTGCAGATGAAGTAGGGGAAAATAATGGCCATGATGTAACTGCTGCTGAATTAGATCCCTTTTTGACAAACTCATCTGAAAATGTGAATTTTGCTTCTGAGTCAAGTAGAAGCCTAACCGAAGAGCAGCAACAAAGAATGGAGAGAAATAAACAACTGGCCTTGGAAAGGAGGCAGGCAAAGCTACTGAGTAATAGTCAGTCTCTCGAAAATGGTAAATTTTATGGTGTTTTTTATGTGCTACCATTAATATAGCAAGGATATTTTAGAAATTTTAACTTCTCTACTACGTCCCAAGATAAAATACCTCTAGGAATAGAAAAATGACATAGTATATTAAGTTTATGTACATTTGAGAGAGAGAGAGAGAGAGACCGTATATGTGTTAGCTGTTTGATATCCTCAAAGAATAAATGAGTCCAAGATGGTTTTCTGAATAGTTGAGTTCCTCTTAAAAAGTTATTTTAATCATTTAAAATTTATTCTAAATTTTTGAAAAACATATTATTCCCTGACTCCTTAAAGCATGTGACAAATAATTTTATCTTTAGGATCATAATTATGAACATTAATTATGGTACTTTCCCAACCATATAAAATGCCTTTTGCACCAATTGAGGATTTTAGAATCATTTGCTATGGCATGAATAGGTGGTTCTAAAATTTTTGTTTTAACTGCATTGTGTCACTTTTGTTGTGAGCTATCAGCTTGATCACCTGTTATATTACCTTCTGTCTAGTAAAGGTGCCTTAAAATTTGGTGTTTTGAAAACAGACTGTGGGTTTGGAAACAGGACAACCACATTTTTAAAACTATATTTAAAAATAATTGCAGTCCTGGCCAGATAGCTCAGTTGGTTAGAACATCATCCCAGGATGCCAAGGTTGTAGGTTTGATCCCTGGTCAGGGCACATACAAGAAATAACTAATGAATGCATGGATAAGAACAAGAAATTGAAGTTTCTCTCTTTCTAAAATCAATAGTAAAAACTAAAAATAATTGCAAGTTGGTTTTGAATTAAGCTAGATGGCATGTTATTCTCAATTTCAAATCCAGTTTTTCCTTTTGAAATAGTAAAATGAGAATTTTAGTAAATAATGAAGATTACCATGTTACAAAACTAGTTTTACCCAAGATAAAATTCTCAAGTTAAAATTACTGTGACTGTATTATTATTTTTCCAATTAAAATGAATTGAATTTTTAAACTTATTACTTCCATGTGAAAAAAATTGCACAGCAGTAATAAATATCAACCACTCCCGATAGCAGGGTTTTGTCTTGCTGTCATTATCAAAGTATACCTGGCAATAAGCATTTTAAAGCTCATCTTCTATTTAAAATTGCCCAAATAGAAGTAAGTACCTTAAATTTTCTTTACTGTAGATCACTTTGACACACAGCCTTTAGAGCATGTGATGTTTTAAAACTTCTGTCTAGTAGTTGTGATTTTGAATGAGAACAGTTGTTTATTGCAATGATTCGAGACTTTGAGTTTACTATCTTTCAAGACCTTGAATTTAAAAAAAGAATTTAAAAAAATTTATTGATTGATTTTAGAGAAAGAAAGGGGGAGGAAGAGGAAAAAACCACTGATTTGTTATTCCACTTACCGATGCATTCATTGGTTGCTCCTTGTATGTGCCCTCAGTGGGGATTGAACCTGTCACCTTGGCATATCAGGACATTGCTCTAATCTGCTGAGCTACCCAGCCAGGGCCAAGACCCCTTGCATTTTTTAATGAACGACATACATGTATAAAAATGGCTTTATTTGGGAGAAATTGCTCATAATTAACAAGAACTAAAATGATCATAGATATTATTTCTATTGATCTAAGCTTATGAAGAGATTTGTGTTAGGTAACATTGGATTAAGTGCTTAAATAATATGTAATAATTATTTCTCTTTCAGATATATCAATGAGCACATCCAGGGCACAGACAGTTGAAGATGTTAAAATAGGTGAGGATCAAAACGAGGAGTCAGATGGATTTAACAAAGACATTCTAGATAATACACATAATGATGGTGCTGCCAATATAGTAAATGAAGAGGAGGAGTTAAAAATAGAGAAAACTCAACTGGACCAGTCCTTTTAAAATTAAAATTGTACAGCAGTAACTTTATTCTTCATCCAGAAATGTTGGATAGGCCTCAATCAAGAGAAAATTAACTTGGTATCCTGCGAGTCTAAGATTACTATGTATTTTGTATACTTTGAGTAAAATCCTTATGTAGTAAAATGTATACAGATTCCTGTTTAAAATATGGTATTATTTATAATTATACTTGTTTTTTATTAACTTTATATAAGCCTATTTATTTTCTTAGTGTTTTTATATAGATTTGACTGAATAATAATGATTAGTAGTTAATAAGCAGCTTCTGCTGCTGGTGTTCCATTGAAGGCCTTGTTTTCACTAAATTGGTGTTTTAAGATATAAATATATAACAAACAATGATACCCTTTAAAAAATACAAACAAAAATCTTATAAACTGTCTCTAGAAGCTTTATAAAAGTTTCTAATTGCTATTTAGTTCTGCAGTTTACATTTTTGGTAAAATGGCCCTGGCAGTGTGGGTCCGGCTGTGCCGGCCTACAAATCAAAGTGTCACTGGTTCAATTCCCAGTCAGGGCACATGCTTGGGTTGTGGGCCAGGTCTTCAGTAGGGAGCATGGGAGAAGCAACTGTACATTGATATTTCTCTCCTTTTTCTCCCTCCCTTCTCTCTAAATATAAATTAAAATTTTTTTTAATGTTTAAGGTTTTCATGTGCTTAGATGTATTTTGAGGAGTGACTTTAATTCTTAAAGGGTCACATAAAAGGTTGATAAATTGCCTGGCTCTATAGGTGCTAGGGAGGTTCTAATGCTCCTTGGTATCCACTGATCAGGTGGAGAGAGACTTGCAAAGTATTATGAGGAACATAGAGCACCTAGGGCTGATTCACAGGAGACCTTCAAGTTCATGGAGATTCCAAGGATTGGGGAGTACATGTACAATGGTGAAACAGTAATGAAAATTTAGGAAATAAGGAAGGTTTGGGTGTGGTGAATATGAGGCTAGAAGTATTAGGCCCAGATAGTGAGAAGACCTGGTTAGAGATTTTCCTGCCTGAGTTTATCAACTTGGTAGAGGGGTAATTAAAGATAAGGAAGTACTACATTGACAGCCAAGTTTAAAGGTCTGTCTAGTTCTTGGCTGGAGAGTCCCATAGAGGGAGGGAGGGGGGGAGGTAAAACTAGTTTTTACAAACTAGGAGGTGGAAAAGTTGCTATTTATGAGAAGGACTGGCAGTGGGGTGCTGAAGTGCCTTCTATCCATGAAGCTTGAGATCTTCAGGCTTCCTGACTTCAGGTGAGGATGGAGAGTGACAAAGATGGTTTGTTTGAAAGGCCAGGAAGTTGAGTATAAGAACCTATGAGGTATGGGAGGCTTGGGTGGCTGTGGGCGTGCTGGAGACTGGCACAGTGAGGAGCCAAGAATCATACGCCTTTGAGGATTGTGGCTTATTGCTGCCAACAGGGGATCACCTAGAAGATGGAGCCCAGTCTCCAGATGCAATTAATGCCTAGAGAGATGAGTTATTTTTCCAGTGGTGGGATTTGCCGGAAGGTGACAAGTCAACCAGGGTAAGACCAATGCAATTCATCGCCTGAGGAGGACTCAGAAAAATGAGGGTGGAGAGGGAGGTTTAAGAACAGACATAACCTGCATACCCTTCCCTACTCCTCTGCCCTATCACCGACTGGTGCTGCGGACAACAGGGAAGGTTAGAGTCAAATGATGAAATTGTTTTAAGGGGGTAGGTGGGTAGGATTAAGTCTTGATATCTGTAAGTGACTAGAAAGTTAATCTGACAGATGTCTGAGGGACCTATGACCCAAGGTAGTAATTACTGGAAAAACCTAATTTGAACCAAGCTACCCAAATACCAATTCTGAGTTTACTAAAAAGCTACTAGCAACTTGATTTGCAGAGCCACCGTCTGCTACTCATTTCTGAAAAGTAAGTTTCCATAGTGACCTAATTGTACTTGGTTTAATGCAACTTTAATGATGAGAAAACATTCCACACATATAGTAGTCCCTCTTATCTGCAGGGGATGTGTTCCAAGACCCCCAGCAGATGTCTAAAGCTGGATAGTACCAACCCTATATATACCACGTTTTCTCCTATGTGCACATACTTACAATACAGTTTACTTTATAAATTAGGAACAGTAAGAAACTAACAATAATAAAGTAGAACAATGATAAAATGCTGGAATAAAAGTTACGTGAATGTGGTCTCAGCAAATTGGCACAAATTTCTTTTTCCTTCACAATTTCACAGAAGAGTCCTTACTGTAGATAAAGCTTAGTGGCCTTGGCATGTGATTTTTTTCTTTTCTTACTGGGAACCGTCACCTTTTTTCCTAAGGAAGCGCTGGATTGCTTCTCTGTGGCACGTTTTAATTGGCAGCATCACTATTGTGCTTTTGGGCCAATAGGAAGTCAATAGTCAATCTGAAAAATGAGAAGGTTAAGTGACTAATAGGCTGGTAGCATATACCCACTGGTATGCCGTGGGTACACTGAATGGTTTGTGTCCTGTGCAGGATGGAGTGGGACAGCAAAAGATTTCACCAGGATACTGAGAATGGCATACAGTTTACAACTTATGAATTGAGTATTTCTGGAATTTTCTATTTAATATTTTTAGACCATTGGTTGACTGGGTGACTGGAACCAATGAAAACAAAACTGCAGATAAGGGGGGGATTATGGTCTGTGAAATATCTACCCAATCTCTATCAACTAGAACATTGTGTGACCAAAAATTAGATTAACAGTAATGTTGAAAAGAAGGTAAAACATAAGATAAAGCTCTTTTATTTAAGTAAGGGGAGTATTTCATAATCCATGACTGTTTGAAACATCCAGGAGAGCTAAGTCCCGTATCTCCTCTAGAAGTATGTACAGGCTTCTTCCCTTGGTTTGGCAATATTCTTGATAGTCTTCCTGAATGATGTTTACTTTGACTTCTTGGGCTAGCTGAGCTTCCTCCACAGATCTAGTTACTTCTTTCACTAAGTCGCTTTTTGGCAAGAGAGCAGTCTGATGAAAAAGTTCTGTGTCTGGTATCATGTATGGTTTGTTGCTCACTATTTCAAGCCTGATTGTATCAGAATGGCAACGTGAGGTCTGTACAGATATTCTCACCTATCATAGAGAATAGAATGCATATTATTAAATCACATTCTTTGTTATTTACACTGAAAGCAGTATTTAATGTAAATACAGACTTACTGTTACATGGTCAAACAAACAGAATGTAACAGATTCCCCTCCTATTGTGGTAGAGGTGATTTTGTTCTGAGAGCGTTGAAGAGATCCTGGTTTCCATTCAGAACGGTTATCTGGGCCACATGAGATTACTAAACCATCTTTATTTTTCAGATAAGCAGCACCTTTAATCCCAAACCTGAATCATTGCCAGAATAAGAATCCAGAGATAATATATTCTTAGTACGCAGATCTTGTATATATGTTTAGCTAGAATGCTAGCTTTTCTTCTAGATTAAAAACATTTTTTCCTGTGATTTACCTCCAAATATTTATTTCTTTAATCAGATAGAAACAAAATATCTTGCCAAATAAGTAAAATTTTATTCTAAGAGTGATACAGATATACTAGATTCTAATCTTTTATACATATATAGTGAATTATATGTACAATACAGTATATATATAACTAAATAATTGCTACAATAAATAATAAGTTATCTAAAGTACTGCTTGTGTTATACACTTTAACTATGATTTGTTAACAATTTTTATATTAGATATAACATACCTCGGTATAAATACAAGCACACCATTTGTTCTAATTGAATAAATAACACCATCGGATATGCAGCGCTCCTCAGTTTCTTGGCCTTTGTCTTTAAAATACATGCACTGGAAGAGCTCAGTAGACCGCTTCTGAGAATGCTGAGCTGCCTGCAAGAAGCACAGCCCCAAGTCATGAGGACAGACTTCCCTGACATACCCAGAAGAGACAAAATTCATCATCCCACAAAAACAACATCTTTAAAAAGGCTAGGTTTTATAACACTATTAATACAGGTATTCTTTATGATGAATTAAATCAATTTTTGTGGGAACAAAACCATCAGTATCATTCCCTCAAAAGTGTCTTAGACAATTAAAAATTTAAGAAAGCAATCAGTTTGTCATTTAGAAACTATGTATAGTTCATGCAGGTAAGCTGAAAAGTAGCCTACCAAAATCCTGTTGATGGAAGTGGAGATTAGTACTACTTCTTGTGGGGGACAATTTAGTAGTATGTATCACAGTTCCATTTGTGCTCACCTTGTCACAGCATTCATTATTACCAGGAATTTATCCTGGCAATAATCTGAGCTGTCTGTAAAAACCATAGGCAGGGTTGGTTGTGAACTAGGTCCTGGGCAGCCTAGGACACCACTGCCCAGGAGACTTCATGCAGTGATGAGAAAGTTGCACATCTGTGTTGCCCCGTAGGTCGCCACTGGCCATATGTTTATTGAGCATATATGAAAGGGGGCTAGTGTGACTGAGGAACTGAATTTTTAAGGTTTTAAAATTGTTAATTTAAATAGCAAACATGGTTGGCGGGTATAATATTGCAAAACAGAACTAGAGAACATTGGGTATAGAAGATTTTATTAAACATATAGGTAGTTTCTAATTCCATGTTTCACCAAATGGTCTAGTTCTATGCTGTACAATACTGAAGCCACTAGCAACGACTGAAATAGAACACAAAACAGCTTCTAAAACCATGATTAACTACCTTGACACGGTGTGCCAACAATAATGTGTTAAGTGAAAAGGGCAGATTGCGAAACAGACCTGGTGTAATACTGTTACAAATAAAAAGTATTAGGTAGAATTGTTAATGGTTACCCCTGGGTGGTGACATGAATTTCTGTACTTTGGGAGAAACATCTAACCTATTGTTAAATCTCCCAAATCCACATTAAATTACTTCAGAACATTTGTAAATGTATTAAGAGCTATTCAACATACTTCATAATTTTTTATGTCATTTCATTGGTTATAATAATTCTAAATTTTAATTTGCTAAAATACATAGTACTTCATTCCGTTATACAATAAAACTGATTCTTTTAGCAAAAGAGATAATAGGAAGAGAAATTAAAACCCCTCTTACTCGGTTTCTGTTGTTGATATGTCTGCATAATTCCTCCAGATCTTTGTTGCTAAACAAATTTTCCTTAATTTCCATGTTCTTATCTTTTGAAATGGCTGCCATTAATAATCGGTGCACTATGATATCTGAGTATCTTCTTATTGGAGAAGTAAAGTGAGTGTATTTATCTAATGCAAGACCTTTAAAAAGAGGCCAAAAGATCGAAATCAACAACAACATATACTTTTAGAACAACCCACTCAAGATTATGGGCACATAAAAAAATTCTGTTACCATAATGATGGAACTCCTCCTCTGCACAGGATCCAGTGGAGAAATACAGTGCATTAGACATGGCCTGCGTAGCCATAGAGCGGAGCAATCTGTTTACGATGGGGTCGTGCGGGTCATTCGCATTATCCAGAGAATCAGCCAGTGTCTTATTAGACCTGATCAAAAAAAAAAAAGGAAAAATCATTATTTAGTCCCCGGCAATGATTTATTTATAAGCCAACACTCCGAGGGGCACACTTCACTCATCAGTCTCAATGCTCTCATATGATAGGAGTGAAATTTATTTTGGACACATTTCAGAAGGAACTCTTTTCAATGATAGAAATCTAGTTTGATTTTAAGATTTAAACAAAAAAAGTGTGTCAGTATTTAAATGTTTCTTAAACAGTAAAGAATAATGTGCTGATGCTTGTGAGGAGGTTAAGTTAATGCTCAGCACATGGCAGATGGTCAAATACTTGTTGAATTCTTAACACCCTTAACCTTAAAAATACCATACAGGTCAAAGAATGGACTTTTTCTTTTTTAAAAGTCAAGAATTATGGAGCCAGACAGTTAAAAAACAAAACAAAACTAAGTCTGATGTACACAAGTAAAAGAAACCTAAATTGTTATTATTTCATGAGACAGAAAGCATTTTTACTTACTCTCAAATAATTTTTAAAAACCCAGGAAATGTAGAGTTATACTGCAAACATAACAACAGCACACAGTTCTGTAGTGTGCCCCCAAGAGGACGGGGAAGGATGGGGAATGATGGGCAGAGGCAAAGCAGTGCAGTGGGCGCTGCTGAGAGCTTTCCAGTTTGACAGACTTGGACTCAAATAGTGGCTCAGTCCTGACTAGCTGTTACATTGTAGTAATTAACCCCTCCAGTCTTACTTTCCCTACCTGTAAAACAGGGATGACACAAAAGGGTATCTGAACACTCAGCACAAGCGCCTGCACTCCCCACAGAGCTCTGCCACCCAACAAACCAGCAAAAGGTACCATCACCTAAAGGTGGAAGCCAAAAATCCATTCTGACTCATGATTAAAATTAGCACCTGTTACTTCACAACAAAATATTGAAATATCCTCTTTACATACCATTTTTAACGTGGAAAATATTTTATCCTGGAGGTGGGGCGTAAAAAGTCTCAGTCTATGGAAGGTTGGTATAAATTTATCATTAGTGTGGTGTCCTATGATAATGCTGCATTTTTGAAGTAGCAAAATAAATAGTATTATTTCTTGGGATTTGCCTAAGGACTAGATGAAATTAAATCCAAGTTTCTTACTTCTGTTTTACAAATTTTAGTGGGTCAAAGCTGTGCCTCAATAGACTTGTTTTAATTTCAAGTCTACACCTACATTTTAGTCAGTGAAGAAAGAGAGCCAATAAGCTTTCTACTTCTGGTCAAAGATCTGGCTGTCACATTTTTAAGAACTGCAAGATAAGTGTACAGCATTCCTTTCCCTTGCTCTGCCCCCTCAGTAGAGGAATTACCGTGTATCTA